GGGGGGGGGGGGGCGGTTAGAGGGGTACAGGAAGCCAAGGATGGATGTCTAACTCCCCAACATCCAAGTCGGCCATTTTGATTAGGTCACCAATAGGAAGATCCCAGGCAAGAAAATCCTAATTGCTTCATGGCAATATAGACATAAATTTAAATATAGTGAAATGAATCTTGCAAACACTAAATTAAACTCTGTACATAATATTATGTTAAAATAGTGTAAAATAGGTTTGTACAATAAGTCCAAACAAGTTTAACCAAGAAATATTTATTTCTCACAATTATGAAGGTTTATGGTTAGGGTTAGGGCTAGGTTTAGGGTCAGGGTTAGGTTTAGGGTCAGGGTTAGGGTTAGGGTTAGAGTCAGGGTTAGGGTTAGGGTTAGGGGTAGGGTTAGGGTTAGAGTCAGGGTTAGGGTTAGGGTTAGGGTCAGGGTTAGGGTCAGGGTTAGGTTTAGGGTTACGGACAGGGCTAGGGTTAGGGTTAGGGTAAGGGTTAGGTTTAGGGTTAGGGTCAGGGTTAGGTTTAGGGTTATGGTCAGGGTTAGGATTAGGGTCAGGGTTAGGACATCGTTTGTCTTCCGAATTTGTATAGACAGTAAAGTTTTGTTTCCACCTCAGAAAGCTGCTAGTCACATGACCTAATCAAAATGGCCGACTTGGATGTGGGAGGCGGGGGGGGGGGGGGGTACTCACGGTGAAGAGCAGGGCCGGGATGGGGGTGCAGCGCTTCACGTGGATCATGGCCAGCAGGCTGGGCAGGTGTCCCTCCCTCGCCCCGGCGAAGAACAGCCTGTAGGGGGCGCCAAACACACGCTCAAAACCCAGAACAAACCCTTAAAGGGACACTGTCCATTATTAGCTCAAATAAATTCTTACTAAATTAGTGGCATTTATTTATTCTTCTCACACTGTCATGAACACTTATTTTAGATCTGTATATATACATATAGTTACATATGTATATATTTATCTATATTTTGTGTGGAATGTAGTATATATATATATATATATAAATATATGTATATGCTGTTGTATATCCTGAGTTGGTAACAAAATAATTTCCCTCTGGGATTATTAAAGTATTTCTGAAGTCTTTTGGATCTGAGACTTTTTGCATCATTCAGTGGTAAAAGCTTTGCTCAAACCCCTGTTGTACACATTCAGATATACCTGATAACAGCCAGTAGAAGACTACACCAACATATATTTTTGACTTATTGCACGCTAATTTGATCAAAATTAGTTTTTTTTAAAGTTTTTTTTTCTTCATATGTTGTTGAGGGGCCAAAGAAAGACTTAAGACTAAAAAATTCCAATATTCTTCCTATTTTTATTGCAGGAAAATATGTTTTTGACTTATTGCACGCTAATTTGATCAAAATAATTTCTGTTTTTTTTCTTCATATGTTCTTGAGGGGCCAAAGAAAGACTTCAGACAAAAAAAATCCAATATTCTTCCTATTTTTCTTGGATCAGGCTTCAAACGGTTATGGACATTTCACTTTTTTTTACATCACATTCTCACTCAGTTAAGATAATCTCATCCTATCTTACATAAAAACCTGAACTCATCCCCAGAAACCCCCCCAGACTGACCGCGAGGAGGTGAACAGGGACCCGTTGACCCCCCCGAAGGTGGACAGAGCCACAGAGATGGGCATGATCCAGGACATGACTCCCAGGAGCTTCTCCCCAAACGTCTGTGTGGAGAAACGGGAGCTAATGTTAGCGGGCGGGCGTAGCCCACAGGGGGGCGCTGTCCCAAAGGGGGGGGGGGTGCTCACCACGGCAACGGCGTTGGAGGCCAGCAGCTCCTGGGGACTCATGGCGGTGACGTAGGCGATGTTGGCGAACACGTAGACGAAGGTCACCAGAGGGATGGAGATGAAGATGGCTCGAGGGAGGTTCCTGGAGGGGTTTCGAAACAACGTTTAGAGCAGTGCTTCTAAAATAGTCGTCAACTCAACTCAACTTTATTTATAAAGCGCTTTCAGTCAGCCAAAGCTAAAATCAAAGCGCTGTACGGGCCATTTGAGCAGATCATAAAACACAATTATCACCACAACACAAGACAAACTCAGATTAAAAAAACAGTAAGAGCAAAAAGAATAAAAATAAGAAAAAACAAAACCAAGTAAGAGAGGGGAAATTAAGACAACTAAGATAAAGTCGAAGTCTCACTCAAAGGCCTGAGAGAAAAAGTGGGTCTTTAAAAGGGTTTTAAAAGAGCTGAGTGTAGGGGCCTGTCTGATAGAAAGGCCCCTACACTTTCTATCAGTGGACTGTGGTCTAACAAAGCCTTCACCAGCTTAAGACCATCCAGACTGTTTAATGTGTCGTTCCAAGATGGTGGAATAACCTACCAAGCTACCAGAACAGCATCTCCTATCCTAACCCTAACCCGTACCTCTACCCCCCATAGCTCCTATCCTAACCCTAACCCGTACCTCTACCCCCCCACAGC